CACGTTTTCTAGTAATGAGTAGTAATTATTATGTTTTCAATTAAGAAACACATATTTTCATGCTCATATTTTCTCATACTCAATCTTATAAGGGAGTGTGGCTATGATCACTTTTCTCTGAAAGCTTACACTACGAAACAGTAGTTTTATTTTATGAAGTTTCTTACCCGATTTGGAACAATTTTGCCTCCCTGATTTCAAGTCTATAGACAGTTTTTTTCTTGAGTATTTTACATTTTTAGCCAAAAATTATATAATATGATTTAAAATCAAAAAATATATTGCTCTTACTTAACATGGCAAACATTTTCTTTTATGTGCTTTTCTTGCATGAGTAAAAACATCAGTCTTGCTTTGAATGCTCCAGCAGTAATCAGCCATCATATTCGCATTTTAACGACGCTGGTATCGCTCTTCCACAGTGCGAATATTCTGATGAAAGCGTTCTCTTTGTTATTCGCTTAAGTTGCCTAAATTATCCTGAAAAGCGGTCTAAATGTCTGAAGAGGCATCGTGAGCTGCTCAATGTGTTGAATATAGTCTGGAGACTTTTTATTTTCTTAGAAAGTTTATACAATCCAAATAAATTCAATCCATGCACATTTCTTCTTATCTGTCATACAATCAGTCAAATGTTGTTCCTTTATTAGTTGATTCGAATTGGGAACCGTCAAAAATACCAGCTTTAATTTTTTCTGTGCTTGCTTTCGGAAACGTTTTACTGATATATTTAATACATTCTACAGAGCTTTTACAAACTGTTTTTTCAGATCTAACTTTATATGAAGAGTGGATAATATAATGCTACTAGAGGGGCATTCATCACTTTCATACTATCCGGTACTAAATTCCCTCTCAAAGGCCAAACGTTTTCAGTTCAGTGTTCTGCCTTGACAAGGCTATCCCATAAGCACATAAAATATTGGTATTTAGTATATTCTCCTTGTTGACCGAGAAGAAAATTTACTCGATTTGAAGCTCGACAGATATAAGCCAGTTATGTTCTATGTAAGTCGAACATAGTAGTCCAAATATGTAGGCCTTTTTTATTGAACCAGATGCATTTAAAAGGCACTCGTGTGAAGTTTGATCTCCATATGTCAGTTAGCGTGTGTTTGGCCGTTGTTTGTTTGTAACAACGAGTTTGATGGAAATTTTTAATTTCCAATGGAATCATTGAAAACGTAGCAGAAGTATTTCGAAGATGATGATCGTCATATTAGCAGAAGAAAAGAGTCTAAACATATATTATAGACTCCACATTTTTGAGTTAATGTTTTGGATATGATGTGTTCCAATTCTAAACTCATACCAAAAGATCTAAATCTTTTGCAAAAGCGGCATTGAGTAGAGGTCGCAAAAGAGATGCTTGATACGTAGCTGAGGACCCTGTATTCATCAAACGCAATATTACAAGTAACGATACGTGCTATTATGAATATCGTCGAAACAGTTCAGCAATCTAGCGAATGGCGCTTCGTACCGAACTGACAAAACCAAAATTCGCTGAAAACTAAAAAAATACGTGAAAAAGTAGTTTTACTTTATCGTCAGTCCGGATCGAATTTATTTTTAGACAACAGTTTCGGTATGATAGAAGTTATATTGTATTTTTTATTTTGAAATTTTTATTGCTGCTCAAGTAATTCAGATAGAAATTAATACTATTTAAAGCAACGTTCTATGAGAGTAATCACTTTCTTACACACATATAGCTTAAAACTAATAGAGCCTGGTATAACTTCCACTTTTCGTATTGTTTTAAACCACACTTGCTTCTGTTATACTTATTTAAATATTTACGAGTTGGTGACAGTCAATATGTTAGTTTTCAGAATTTCAGTCATAAATGTACTTGGTAGATATTCTAGAAAGATATGCAACTTTTTAGTTCAACTTAAAGCCAGATTAGCAATTTTAAATTAATTTTATTTAGCTCTCCTATGTTTTATTGAAAAATACTTATCCAACAAAATAGTTATTGTTTCTACGAAAACAACTTTAAAAAAATTTATGTACAGGACCTGCGATCCTTTTTGTGTTTATGTAAACATTGAATAACTTTTATATGTTTCAACCCATTTAAAGGATTAGATAACTTGTATATTTTAGCAACCCCAATTCAGCACAATTCCATTTACGAATCGCCTAATAATGAAGCAATGCGATGAAATTCTGACGCCTTACTCTGAAAATAATCGTTCAGTATACGTAGTGTTAACTCAACTTGCATATCGTTGGCGTTGTCATAATAAACAAAATTATCATAATTGTAGAACTGAAAATTAATTCGATACTAATTTATAGATTTGCGCCGGCGTTTGCAAAACGAAAAACTCGATTAAAAACATTATCGCCCAGATCACTCAGAACTCTTGTTGTGAGTTCTCTTGACTTCTTTTTCGTAGAATTATTCTAGTCACGAAGTGTATGGCAGCAATATTTTGTTTATTGATTGGTTCCAGACCAAACTTCGTACCAAAATCATCGTTATGAAATCGGAGATGATCGAAACAGCGTTGGACAACGTAGAAAACAGCTGTGGCTAACAAAAAATGGTCATTCTAATTATGTAGTGTTGAGAAAAAATTCCACATAAATATATTAAATATAGTAAATATTAAAGGCAGTTTATTTTCATTAAATAATTTAAATGCATGATTTGTGCTCATAAATAAAACAACGTCTGATTCACTACCATAATATGAGAACATAAAGCGATTATTAAACAATTAAGAAGAGAAAACTGTCGAGTTTTTTTGTTGACGTTTTCGCTACATTCGCGCCTCTTTTCACGTTCAATTAGTAACTGTCTGCGCTTAAATCACTTTCGCTGCTTGGCTGACTGCCCATTTGCACGGAGTACACACACACACGTACATATGTGGTACACCTACATACACACTCATATACATAGGTTTGCACTAGCTACTATATGTTCGATTTATTTGCGCCTTTTTTCGTCTGTGGATGTTTGCTAAATGTGTGCGATTGCTATTTTTGCTTCATATTTACTTTTTGGCTACTCAATGATATTGGGCAACGGCACACAAAAATTGTAACTATCAGCGCCATAGAAAGTGTTTTTGAGCCGAATGAGGCGGCCAGTTGGTCTAGGTGCCGGCGCTGACTGCTTGTTTGCCAGCGCCAATTTGTAGTCAAATAAAAGTACTTGTGGCTGTATGTGTCTCTACTTTAGTAAAGAGCGCGTGTGCATTGGTCGTGCAACCAATTTGTCTATCTAGTTGTGCGACGAAATTACTTGTTTGCTCGTTTGTTGTAACGGCTAGCATGTGGCAACTGATTCTTTTTAAACTTTTTATTTCTGTTTTTTATAATTTTTTGCAATGCAAGCAATATTTTTTCGCATTCAAAACTGCATTTTTACCATATTTGCTCTATTTTTGGGCGCCTGCACATTTTTGCACAATTTGTAGGTAACTTGTTTGAGCGATTCTATTGAAGTGTTTGCAATTGGGCAAAGCAAATCTGTTGCAAGGGCATTAGCGATCACAAAAATAATTGCTTTGACGACCCGAGAGGGAGCAGCAAGTCAATTTGACTTGAAATAATATAAAAATTATACAAAAAAACAAGAAAAAACATTAACTTCAGTTGCACCGAAGCTATAATATCCGTCACAAATACAAAATATTGCTTAAAAGATCTTGATTCCGATTGTATGACATCTAGATGCTATAATGATTCGATCTGAACCATTTCTTCAGAGATTCCATTATTTTCTTAGATAATGATTCATTCCAAATTTCGGGAAGATATCTCGTCAAATGAAAAAAAAGCAACCACTTGATTCCGATTGTTCAGTATTTATGGCAGTTATATGCTATACTTGTATGCTATAGTGGTCCGCTATCTTATGTTCCGACAAATGAGCAGCTTCTTGTTGAGAAAAGGTCAGGTGCGAAAATTAAGATCGATATCTAGAAAACTGAGGGACTAGTCCGTATATACACAAAAAGACAAACAGACAGACAAACGGATATGGCTAATATACCCTTCATAGGATTTTGATCGTTTAGTTTATATGGCAGCTATATGCTATGCTGATCCGCTATTAGCAATTTCTTCGGATACGGTACACCGTTATATTGAACAATAATCCATGCCAAATTTCGTAAATATGTATTTTGAAATAAAAGAGTATACAGGAACTTAATTTTAATCGTGCTGTAATGGTTCGATATTAGCGGTACCCATAAATAAGCAGCTTCTTCGAGTGAAAATTCGTGTGAAAAATTTCAGATCGATATCACTAAAATTTATGAACTAGTTCGCGTATATACAGATATAAGAACACACGGTAGACAGACGGACATGGCTAAATCAATTCAACTCGTCATGCTGATCATTCATTTATATAATTAATAGGGTCTGTGACGTTTCCTATATTATTACGTATTACAAACTTCGCGGCAAACTTAAAACCCTGTTCAAGGTATAAAAATTATTTACGAAAGCGAAAGTCTTACACATTTTAGTAAATTTTGGTATTTGCAGTAGCATATAAAATCAATGTTAGACGATTTTTTTTACATTTCTGCAAGTTTTGCTACTTCAATATATTTTAAAGTATTTTTTAATATCTTTTTTTTCAATTTTCTTCAAATGTTGGTATTTAAAATATAGTACAATTAGACGTTCTTCAATTTTTAAGGTAAACAAAAATAATAATTTGCATAAAATAACAACTCAAATCGAGCTGAACGCCGGCTTAGTTCAATTTGTTTGCACAAAAAATTAGCAGCATAGCCCGAAGGGCTCATAAATAAGACGCAAACTGCCAATAACCAAAAACTATTATCATAAATAAATAACAAACTAGCAAAATTAGTTTCATTCATCGACAATGAATAACTATGTATTATTACAAAAAATTTCTTTGCAACATTAAAATTTCGCGACTTAAACGCGCCAATATTTCCAATAAAAACCACAGAACCACCTACTTTCACATTTAAAACCGACCAAACCGCAGTTCCGTTAATCAGCTCAAATCTGCACGGTCCACAACACTACAGCCTTTAATAAACATGCATTTCAGCGCCTTCGTAGCAACAGTTAGCCTTGCCATATTCGGCGTGGCTACCCTCACGCGTGCTGCAGCTCCCACAAGCACCAGCACTACCGTTAATACCGCTAGCACCGATTTGCAATCCGATCTGCGTGATTTCCAGGCGCTGTTACCACGTCGCCGCATTGGTTATATTGCCGCTCATCATTACATTGTCGATGCGCGTTTTCGCAGCGCTTTGGCATTCATACGCGGTCCGGAATTTTCCGCCACTTGGCAGCAGATACGTAATACCAGTGACTTTGCAGAGCTTCTCAGCTTAATGCAAAGCGATGGTGGCGCTTTCGATGTTACCACCATCATTGATAGCATACCAAATCAACTGCGCGCCTTCAATATAGCATCCAAGGTACCGGTGAACATGATGTTCCAACGCATGGTGTCCGATTTTCTCGGCGATGTGGTGCGTGAGTTGCCGCGTGCACGTTTCGCCAGCTTAATGGCGCGAAAAGTGCAGGCGGGCGGTGAATTTTCACAGCTATATCGAACTGTGCGTAGCGAGGAGTTCGGGAGCTTGTTGCAGAAAACGAGGGTGAGTGAATATTTGGGGACGTAGAGTTTGTTGATAAGTTCAGTATGGGCGGCGCATCTTTTTATAAGCTGGATTCTAAAAGTTTGTGTTGGTATTGGCGTTAAAACGTTAACTTTTTAAATTTTTTAGGCATATTTTCAAGCCATTCTGCGATATATATTTTTTTACTTTTCAAAATTTGTTTCTGCCTGTTCGATTACGCCTCAAAATCGACTAATGATTTCTCGTTATCGACTTATGAATTTATAATTTTTTCGATTGTTTTAATAATTGTTCGATATTAACCACAAATTAAGTGCACAACCTGAAGTTTTAAAACCTAAAACGATTTATTTAAATTTTTTGTTTTAATTTAAATTTTTTGTTTTGTGTATAAGCATTTACTCTGGGTTGATATGCCAGACGTCTGACTACCATATGATATATCGAGCAGAGTTCTCAACATTTTGTTGTTTAATTAATTTTAAGCTTTTTGCATATAAATAGGTTTTTTTCAAATTTAATTTATATTCTCATATATAGCAGTTCTTGTTATCACTATTGATTTTGTCATTGATATCTGGAAGAATTTTTAAAAGTTTTTCTAATCATTAATTTAACCTTATTATTAATCTCCGCACATTAAGTGGGTTTTTTATTTTTTACTTTAAAATGATAATAAACCAAAAAGTAAAATATATCGTTTTTTTAACATATGCAAATATCGATATACCATAGATGGAATTTCAGATCGATTATTGTTAACAGCTGCTCTTGAAGATAACTTTAGAAGATTTTATTGTGAACGAACGAATTTCATGTATTTTCTTAAAAAACCAAATTACCGTATTTCGATTCTTATTAGCAATAAGTTTTATTTTCGATTATCGCTAATTGATTTTCCTTATCGGTAATCGATACCACCCTTTATTCAATAGGTAGCCTTTAAGTTTATATACAAGTATTTGTTCAAGGCTCCATCATAAATTATATTTCTCTCTGTGAATCAATTTATCAATTAAAAATAATCGATAACATAATTCAATTTTTTGTTTATACACTATAAGTTAAATATTATATTATTCTAAAAATCTGTATTAAATATTATTGTTTTCTTCTTCTCGTTACAGAAGTCTCCAAATCTGGCCGCACCCATTCGTAAGCTAAATCAAAATTTCATTGACGTTGATAATATAATCAAGATTGGCTTTAATGTGCTCAGCTGGGGTCCGTAATTATCTGCAGACAAAGCTGTTTATTACTTTTTAAACTTTTTAAAAGGATTGAAAGGTTTAATTATTTATTTTATAGCCGAGCAACATAATAAATTAATTAATAATTAAAAAATCTGAAGGATATATACTTTCAGGGTGAATGAGACAATTCGACAATTTACAACAGAGAAACGTTAAATTTGTTTGCTCTTATACGTCATCTTATAATTATAACACCTTTTTAGCTAAAATTTTCACCTTCTTTATTTATTTTCGACAGCCTTCTTTCTGTGTTTTTATTTTGCTTTTCCTTGAAATGAACCCGTTTTACTCAAATACTCGGACTGTTATTTTATGTAGCAATAAAAAGAAGTTAGGTGACAATAAAGTTGAGAAAGGAAAAATATAAAATTGTTAATATGTTTGTGTTTTCTGCGAATTTCCAGCTCTTCATGACTTAGTTACATGGAAATTACGCGAAATTTTCCCTTAGAATCATGAAAAGATTTTTTATTTTTGGCGACGACAAATGATACGCAAAAAGCAAAGAGGTCGTAACTTACTTTAAATATCTAAAAACATAAGCGAGAACAATACAAAAGTTCAGTCCGTTCTTTATTATTTATTTTATCATTCTTTTCACTTATTTAGCAACAAAAAATATTTTGTTACCTTCCTTGACATCGAATATGTCACGAAAGTGACCGCAAAGGTATCTTTCACTTATTTTCATTTTGAAAAGATGAGGTCACAGGTCATTGCGGCTCTCGTATACAATTTATTTCAAGTGAAATCCGTAGTCTCAGCCTACTTCATGCTTTAATAGTGCTCTCTCGCATGGCTAATCACAAAAGTAGGTAAGTACATATTATTTAATACCACAAATCAAGTAAAAGTTTACAGCATACGCCAACAAAATATTGCAATACTTTTTAGCATTCCTTCGTCGTACGTTTGTCGTAGGAAATGCGTTTGTTGAACGACATCGCCAAGCTCGATTGCCGTCGACACTTTCGACGCGCTGTGCTTCCGCAGCCAAGCGAAATTAGCCAAGTGTAAAATTTTTTATATTTCATATTTTCTTTCGCGCACATCGAATTCGTCTGAAGTAATGTGGCAACCAACGAATCGTGCACAGCCTCTATGCAACCATTCGTAACACGTCGCTTCCTGTTGCCAGCATCAGGCTCAAGCGGGGGCCATACATATTGTGACGGGTTAAAAAGCAAAGTATGCTTTTAGGCATTACCACTTTCTCGCATCATATAATATTATATAAATTATGAAATTCGTGCGCCGAAATTTACCAGATTTTCGCTTTTCTCGCTTTGCCATCTCCGTCCATGTTTTGGCACTTCATTTTGTTTTTTACTTCTTTTTTGGGTTTTGTTTTTTCTGCTTACGTATCATTTAGAAATAGAAAGTATATTCCCCGACCAGAAAATAAATTATTGATTTTTATGTTCGCTATAAAAATGTTGAGCCTATGGCCGTCCGCCGTAGTGGTGTGTTTTCTCCTGGTTACTTTAATGTTTCCTCGGAATTGAATCCACCTGGCATGAATATGAAAGTAATGGCCGTTATGGTGCAAAGTTGCATACCTGTGTCAGGAGAGTTAACCCGCATAAATTTCTTGTTTAGGTATTTTGCAATGGCGGTTTATTAAGGTGATTTTTACATTAAGAAAATTAGTTTTTCGACCATTAGAAGTTGCAGATTTGATTCCGAGTACATTTATGCAAATTATCCATTTTACAAACATTGATTTTCTTAATAGTGTTTTACTTACGTCGAGACCTGGTCAAGTATAGTAGTTTGTAAATCCATAAATTTGTATATAAATAACTGTTATTTGCTACAGCTTATTACAGCTTTCTATGGTTTGCTATAAAGGCGGGTAGTACATAATATAATATATGTGTCTACCGCTGGCCTAATTCGGCGAAATTGTACAGGAATACTAATTTTAAGCTCTCCCGTATTTAAATCGGCATCTGAAGACAGAAATAAAATACGGAACAAAAGTATCTGAAGTTTGTATAAGGAATATAACTAAAATCGAAAAATTTAATCTCAAGGCTGTCCATACATATATGTATATGTATCCCAAGAGTGTTCGTACCTACGGTAACCAATTTAAAAAATATTGAAATATAACCGTTTTTATATTTGGTGAAGAGCTACCACGACAGTAGTATTATTTTTCAACATGTTGCATAAGACAAATCCTCTTACGACAGTGTGCATATATGTGAAATCGATTGATAACCTCGCCCACTCCTCATATAACGATTTTGTTAAAATTAGCTAAAAGTGCGATAAAATAATAACTAAATGCGTCAGTTTTACATCCAGGATGGAATGGTACAAAACGGCATTATAGGAGCTGGTGTCAAATTTGGACGATTTGCATGGCACCGCCCAACTTTACATGAAATTACATATCTCTGGAACTAAAAAAACGAATTCAACTAAATTCGGAACATAACAGTCATCTGATATTTCTATATTAATGTGCAAAATGGGTGGAATCGAACTATAATAAAATTTTATCTGAGTATTTTATTTTTCAGTATACAAATCAAGAACCTATGAATATATCTAAAAATTGTCAAAATTTAATCACAACTGTTCAAGCCCCAGATATCAAATATATGAACCCCAGTTTCACGGCGAAAAGTTTACGAAAAATATATGTCAATGTGTGAGATATATAATAAAAATTGGAAGAAACCCCTTTTCATAACATGTCTGTATGTAAAAAAATTAGTTGAATCGGCTCAATACTGCCCTTAACCCCCGCACACTTAAGAGAAAGATTTTGGAACTTCCCGCTGACTTATGCGGTATAAAGTCCATCGGCCAATGTGTGAGTTAACTTAATAAAATTGTGTGAGCGTGTTTTTCGAATAACGGTATATAATTGTGCTCAAAATTTATCAAATCGGGGGTGCGCTAGCCCCATATGACTATGTATTGTAATATCAGAGATTTTGAGACTTGAGACAAAAATAGAAAAAATATATTTATTTACATTTATTTATTTAATTCAAATAAATAACTTTAAAATTTCCTTAAATGCATTACTCCTAACACCATCGTTAGCATTGACTTAACATACCTCTAACAAACGGACATTAACAACAATTAAATTTATATTGTACTGCAATGTTAACAGCCATGTTAATGCTATCAAAACGAAGAATTAATATTTTCAGGTGTAGCAACAAATTTCGAGAAGATTTGGTATAACAGTGATGTTATACTGCTTATAACAGCAATGTTAACTGTTAACAACTAGAATAGAATGTTAATACGAGAACAAATCAAATGTTATAAGCATGCCATTAACATATGCACTGTAAATGTAGCAGAACAAGAGCGATTCTGCGCAAACAACACAGAACAAACAAACTATTCTCACCTTGTACCGGTAGGGAAAACCAGTATTTTCTAATTTGAGCAGTACTTCACTGCTTGTCCAGCATTCTAAGGAACATTTTCCAAAGCTTAGTGCTGAACGCCACATACTATGTACTACGAGTACCATAGCTAACAGTGGATTGCTCGCACATTTTCAACTCAGCAATTGCCAATGCTGCGTCGCATTCGCAGCAATGCATTGTATGTGCTATGAAATGCGCCAAAGGCAAAATGACAATCAGAATGGCTATTTATTCATTTACACCAAATTACCACTTGATTTATCGCTAATTATCGGCGCGCATAAATCTAAGATGCCGCAGGCAGCGCATATACATCTCTGCGTACAAAAACAATGCGCTATATATGTGTGTGTACTTGTGAAGGTAATTGTTGCATGCCGCCTGTGTAATGGCTCCCTTTAGTGCAGTCAAATGCATGATTGATGTCGCGACAGCAGACGATAAAATTTGCCAAAGGAAATGCTAACGCATAGCAAGTGGAAAAATGCTTTGGCGTTTGTTGGACAACCGAGCGAAATTCAAATGCATTGTAGTAGAAAATCAACAAAATGGCTAATACTGCTTTTATTGCGGCAATTTTCGGGCTGTAAGAATTAGTAACTGTATCTTTGTACATATTTCTCTATATGAGTCTATGGCCTCTTTTATTACTCAGTAGTAGCTTTTATTGGGTACTCAGTGATTTATTTTTGTTTGCAATTTTTAGTTTGGTAAGAGATTTAGTGGATCGGCCAAGCATTAGTCCAGTTATTCACAGAGTACGAATTTCCATAAATTATCAGCAATTATTCTTATTATAGAAACACAACTGGAGGATTAATAAATGTATATTTTTAGTTGAGCTTCCCTTCCTAGTGGTTGAATGTAAGTCGTGAAGTTATCCCAAAACTGAAGGATCCATCTTTCTCAGTAGGCTTTGTGGTTTCTAATAGATTTTGCAAGATTTTTTGATAACTGGAAAATATTTAAGAGCCCGATATTTGAAGTTCTACATTTTTAATTTAATCGGCCGAATTTTATTAATTTTTCATGAATATTTTATTCAGTCAGTATTATTTGTGGCATGAGAAGTAAACACCGAACAAATATGGTGAAAATATGATATGATATGTAGATTTTAAGGAGTCTCTCTGTAAAGGTTTTCCAAAACTAAAGGAATTTGCTACAGAATGCGTCATATTTAAAGAACATCGAGGAAGATTGCTGACCAGTATTTATAACCTGAACAGGGTATATTAAGCTTGCCACGATGTTTGTAACACCCATGCGTAAACGTCGAAGAACCTAAAAAGTATATATACGCATAAAGCCATGTCTGTCTGTTTCTTCGTTCAGGTTTTGAGATATCAACCTGAAATTTTGCACATGTTCTTACCTCATCAACAAGCTACTTAATTGTTGAAACCGCCTATATTTTACCGCTATACCATATAGCTGCCATACAAACTGACTGATCCATTTCAAGTAATTATAGGGAAAACTTTTTTATTTGACAAGTTCACGAAATTTGACTTAGCTTATTATCAAAGGCATTGCTGTAATACAATCTACGAAAAAATTATCAGATTGGAAAACTATAGCATATAGCTGTTATATAAACTGACCGATCGACTTCAAGACATTGTACTTGTATGAAAACTTTTTTAGTTGACAAGGTATCATCACGAAATTTCATTATCTAAAGTATCACTCTAATCTTCAAACATATTGTCGAACCACTTAGGCATATAGCTGTCATTTAAA